TAAAAGCGATTCTACTCCATCTTTACAAATTTTAACGTTGAGTCAAATGTATACTTATAGTTAGTCTAATAGAAATGAACAAATATAATATTTATAACATGCTAAATCTTACAAATTAAAATCTCAAGATAAAGTGTGGTGTTAACATCTTAATAAAATAAAATAAAAAACAAATTCATCATATATTTAGGGATAGTGATTGGGTTAAATCAAAACATAACTAAAACATAAAGTTAACACAAAATCATTGTACTTCTAATCAACCTAATATATAAATAAAATTGAACAGAAAAATATTACAAGACTCTGTACTTGCGAGGGGCTTCGAGCCTTAGTAATTTTGATAACTTAGTTTGAATTGGGTATGATCGAAAAGACACATAGCAGCCTCTTAAAAAGTGTGACTAAAGGTAACGTTAAAATGAAATATTATAATAGATATATCATATATGCTTATTTCTGTATATTCTCAATCATCTTCTAGGCTGTAAATGGTAACTGAAGAACTATTGAATCGTGAGGAATTCAGCTGAAGTTTTAGTTTGTGTCACCAATTGCTTTTGAAGAGTGCATGTGAATTAAAGTTTAAGGAATGCAGCTGAATTGGAATTAAAGAATATTCAATTGAAAATTTGTGGACTTAAGAAGCCAAGACCACTTATGAAGTTATGATAAAAAAAAAAAGGAGCCAAGATCACTCAAAAAGATAAAAAAGATACATCAATAAAGTTTAAAATAAAAAATTTACACAGAACTAATTATAATTATATATCAATGCTGTGACTCTTTTTTATTTTATTTTTTAAATTAGTCTGAATAATAGCACAATAATAGCAAAAATATGCCACAAAAAATTAACATATAGCTTCCATTAAAAAATATTTTGGATTCAACAAATAAATTTATTGGTGTGGATCTATGTAATAATAATTTATTAAATAAAATTTATTTTAGTCTACAATAAATTTAATTATAATTATATCAAAAAAATATTTTTAAATAATTATAGCACAAAATATTTGAGCAATATTAAAAGAGAACAACAAATAATGTCGTTATACATACAATACGACAGGGAATTAAATAACAAATAAGTTATGTTTTTCATTAACAAATTGGTAACTATAACATATTATTTTTAAATGTATACCTTTAATTTTTTTAGCTATGATGTTTAATACTTTCTAGGTTCCTTATTATTTGATGTTTTAGAGTTTTTATACTAGATTAAAAATAATTAATGCTTAACTTTTCATGTATTACTTATTCATTTTAAATAACTATTAACTAATAAAAATTATAAAATTCTCTTGAAGTTTGCATCTGTATGAAATTTATTAACAAAAATGACATTTAATAGTTTAAAAAATCAAATAATAGTTAGGAATACAAACAAAAGTTAAAACATCAAATATTAAGGAACGGTTGGAGTAAATTATTATGAATCAAAATTTATATTTGAATATTTTAAATAATTTAATTTAAATAATTATTATTTAGTTATTTCACAAATATAAGTTTTTATTTATTTTATTATTTTAACTGGGTAAATATTTTGTTAGGTATTTATTCCGTATTCAGCAACATTTAGCTGTTACTATTCATATTACAAACTATTCAGCCAGATTTCACAACAAAACTTCATTTAATTCCACCAGATTTCGCATTTAGCAATATTCGGCGATTACGATTTAGACCTCTAATATAATAAAAAACCTTATAGAAGAAGGTCCTTTGAAAAAAAATAAAAAACCCCTCGAAGTGTCAAAACTTATCTCCAACTACCTAACTCCACTTAAAACTGATGAAAAGTACATCCTGCAGACTTCTGACACTCCATCAAATAAGAAAGAAGAAAGAGTAAATTTAATGAATATACATGAATAATCTGACAATTAGAAATATGACTATAATAACTATTAATTAAATCAATATAGATATATATAAAGGATTCATACATATATACCCCTATGCAGTGAAACACAGATAATAACATCATATAAGTTGGGAATAAAAAAGCCTTAAATAAATTAAAATGTTGCCACACAATAAAATTTATTGTATGATTTTGTATTTTTTTTAAATTGCTAAATTTGTAAACGAAGTAATAAACTTCTATCGCTAACAAACACTACATTACCTTGCTAATAAATACTTGTCACCTTGTTAACAAACACCTTATTATCTTGGTAACAATTATTATGTTACCTCACATTACATGCTAACATTCAAACTATTAATGTTAACATTCAAATTATTACTTGCTAACAAATCTATTAACTACAACATGTAAACAATATGTCATGATCTTTGTTAACAAGGTAATATAGTATTTGTTAACAAGATAATATGATGTTTGTTAGCAAAAAAATATAGTATTTATTACTTTGTTAACAAAAGATCATACATATTGTTTATACTTCTTTGTTAATGAATTTGTTAGCAAGTAATGGTATAAATGTTAGCATGTAACTCTTTGAATGTTAATATTTAATGTTTTGAATATTAATACGATTTTACTAGTTTGATTAATAGATAATGTTAGCAGGTAATTGTTTAAATGTTAGCATGTAAATGGTTGAATGTTATAACATTTGTTAACACATAATGATTTAAATGTTAGATCACTTTATAAAAAAAAATAATTTATTTTTAAGTTGAAAATGTTTTATTTCAGATTTTCTCATAAACTCTAATTTTTGTATACAACCTTTGAGTAGGGGGTAGAGTGTCTTTAGCCACATGAACAAGACAAAATAAAGTTGTCAGAAACACCCATCTAATTTTTCAAGTATTGGTGTATATTCTTTGCAATTTTCCAAGAAATTGTAGGAGTTTATCTTAACAGATTTCGACAGGCTAGCAAACTTTTCTTTGGGATTCACATTTGGGTGAATTGAGTGAATATCATCAGATGAGTGAAGAATTGAGAATACAGCAAATATAATGGTTAATTGGATTGTTACATATGTCAGAGGACTTCTCTGCCGATAATGCCCCTATGCCTTAAGCGCGTGAAAATTGCTACCAAACATTACAGGTGCTATCAGTTATTATCACGCTAACATCGATAAATCTTCTTAGGCCGCATCATGCAACATTGCTATCGCTTCCGTTGTTCATGTTAGCTAGTAAGTGTTTGTTAGCATGTCAACCATATTATCACTGCAACACTGGACATCGAGTTTTGTTCATATTTGTCACGTCTCAGCTTCTCCTAAACCCTAAACCCTCCAACCTAAACCACATAAACTAAACCCTAAGCAGCATAAACTAAAACCTATTACAGGACAGGTTAACCCAAACCCTTACCCATAAAAACAACCCAAACACTAAACCCAAACGCATACATAAACCCATACATGCTAAAGTAACAAAGTATTTGTTAGCATGTTAACCGAGTGGAATACTACCATGATAGCTAAACCCTAGTCCAGAACAGGTGAACCCTAACCCTAAACCCTAGTCCAGGACAGGTGAACCCTAACCCTAAACCCTATACCCTAAGCAGCATAAGCTAAACCCTAGTCCAGGACAGGTGAACCCTAACCCTAAACCCTATATCCAACCCATACCCAAACCCTTACATGATAACAAAGGTGTACTAACCATTTGTTAGCATGTTAACCGAATGAAATTAGGTGGTTGGATAGTATAGTTAGCATTTGTTACTCTGGCTGTATTGTTACCATGATAATGAACAGATGTGCTGCTAGTAGCTCATGTGATTATCACTGCAACAGAGGGCATCCAGTTTTGTTGACATATGTCACGTCTCACCTTATCTTCAACCCAAACCCTAAACCCAAACCCTTACATGATAACAAAGGTGTACTAACCATTTGTTAGCATGTTAACCGAATGGAATTAGGTGGTTGGATAGTATAGTTAGCATTTGTTACTGTGGCTGTATTGTTACAATGATAATGAACAGATGCGCTGCCGGTAGCTCATGTGATTATCACTGCAACATAGGGTTCAATTTAAATTTGCCAATAATATTTTGGTTATTCGCATGGATATTTGTGAACCTGACCCACGCGCGTTCCCTTGTACGCAACACGAGTAGTCCCCTACATTGTAGGGTTTCATGCGTCTTTCTTATTTGAACAGTGCGTGAATAGTGGACCAAAATGATGTTAGAAAAGAGTGCCTAATTATATTATTAACTGTGTATATTGATTGCAATAACCCTTCACATTTTAGAGAGAAAACAGTTTCTCATATGTTCATAATCGTATCTTTGTTGGAAATTAGTTTTTGTGGTTTGATTATTTAATATATATTTTTATGCATATGTTAATTCCGAATAAGTACATCATTTCAACACTCTGTTATAAATTAAATGTTTCCAACACATCGTGGAACTCACACCTAATGTTTTTTTTCTTCTTTATTATGTTAAATGACACACAAAAAGAAAAAGAAAAATAAGTGATGATGGTGATGATTGATGGTGAAATCTGACGATGGTGATGAGTGATGACCCAATCATCACATAAGTATCGTCACAGCTAGAGCAAATAGAACACGTCAGCCACTATAGGCCTTACGCCACTGGGGAACGACAATTCTTGTCCTCGTCCTCGTACAAGACATATATACAGAGTTTTGGATATTGTCCTTAACTAACCCACAAAACGTAGTAAAGAGAAGAAGATTACTAATAGAAATTTATATTCACGGGAAATAAGAATACTAAAATATCTATCTCTATTATTGACCATGTAATTCATATATACAGTCATGTACTCTTTTATAAGTTAGTGACATGAAAAATAAATTAAATTGCTACCCCCGTAAATCGTCTTACAAGGTAAAATGTGTTGCTAAAAAAAGGGTCAAATGTTATAATTTGATATATTATATGGAGCAATAAAATGAAGGAATCAAGATCAGGATAATGGTTCGATGTCGATTATTATAAATCATCTAAACAATTCTCAAAAAAAACTCCATAATGCATGAATACTTCAATATTAATCATCTAACAAATTTAGTCACGCATACGGAAAAGAAGCATACTGAGCTATACCACACATCCCTTGAGGCCACTCCACATCTCTACGAAGTCTAATGTAACCATTCTCTCCCCAAGTCTTACCCCAAGAGTTCTTAGCCAGCCAGTATTTGATCCCTTCCTTTGTCGTCCCGTACCCAACCAACGTCACTGCATGATTCACGTTGGTCCCACAGTCGTGCGCATTGTGAACTCCCCCTGCGTAATGGACGAAACTGGCACTCGTCACGTCAATGCCCACAGAGACTGGCTGTCTCGATACGGCCAGGAGCAACGCACGCTCGTTGTTTTGTGGAACCTTTTGGAACCCTCTGATCTGCATGACGGGTTTGACGTTGGACCGGCAAATCCCTTCTTTCACCTGGAAAGGGTATGCAGTTTCTGAAGAAATTCCTCGGTTTTGTGCTATGTACCTGAAAGCTTCCTCCATTGTTCCGCCCTTGCAACCATTGTTACTCGGTCTGTCGCAATCTATAAGCTGCTGCTCGGAAAGTGATACGAGGTTTCTGTGGGCAATCTTTGTCAGACCTTCCACCGCTGCAATCGCTGAGAACGCCCAACAACCACCTGCCCAATATATAGTGATTAATTACTTGATTGTTACGAAACAATCTTGTACTGGTAGCCCTAAACCTAGAACCATACCCCTAACTTTGGAATGCGAATTTTAGTTATGATATTAAATTACTGATCATGCCGTTTACTCTCTCCGGTCTTTAGAGATATACAGTATATGTTTATTAAAATATATAATTCTGGAAAACTTACCACATCCTCCTTGCAATTTGGCAGGCGTTACAGCTCCTTCCTTTGTCCAGTCTTTGCTCTCGCCGACGACTTTACTAACGTTCCAATTCCAAGATGGCATCGTATCATCAACCACTTCAGATGGTGAGGTTAGGTTAATGCCATTGAGACCGGTGTGGGTGGCAAGGAACTCCTCTTGGGTCCAATCCGTGAACTCGTTGACACCAAGTTTGTAGCTTTGATTCCCATTATTATTGAAGTTCTCAATGAATTTCAGGTTTTTCTCAAACACTTCAAGCCTCATCTGTTTCTCGGATTCATTGCTGTAAACTCTAGAGAATTGAATCATCCATTGTTGGTGGTCGTAAGCAACTGATGACTCGTGAAAAGTGACACGGGATGTGGCTTGAGAGATCTTTAGATCCATGGAAAGAATGGTTAGGACTACGAACATATAATACGACACTACCAAGACCATTTTGGTTTTGATGGATACGACAGATAATAGCACTGATGAAGTTGGTATTACGAGCTTTGACTTGAAAACAATGAAGGCTATGGATTCACACCAGTATGGAAAAGAATATAAATAACCTTAAGAGGAAAACATTTAACCCTCAATTAATAAAATGTGGAAGAAACAAATCGAATGTTGGAAAACTATTAAAAATTGCATTAGTGATTATATACTTTAAAAGGTATAAAAACACTTTAAAATAAGTCATCTGTCGCATTAGTTACACACTTACACTAGACAATATTTTTTTTCCCTTTACATGTATGAAATAATGGTATAATAGAAACTCTATAAATTAATAATGTCGGGACTTTGATATTTTATTAATTTATAGAGTTATTAATATTTAGATTTTGACTAAAAACAATTTTTCAAAAAAAGAAAATTCAGTAATGATAAATTTTAAACTTTCATTAAATTTTTTAAAACTTTCAGTATGCGAGAGATTCATATTTTAATAACTTAGATATCTTTTTTTTGGTGTAATAATAACTTAGATATCTTAGTTATATATATATATATATTTTATATGAGAATTATTAATTTATGATATTATTGGGACCATATTTTACATAGAAGTTTGTAAAAAATTATTTCTTATTATCTTATCAAATTGTGTCATATTTTACACCGGCCCAACTCGAGACCAGGAAAATTTATTAATTTATCGAGTATTAATTTATAGAGTTTTTACTGTATTTAGTCATATACTACTTTATATAGAAGAAAAACCGTTATAGAAATATAATGTTATCTGAGAAATATAATTAAGTAAACAATAAAAAAAAGGAGCTCAGCTGCGCTTCAAGTCGTCAATAAATCTGACAATGGTGACGAACCAATCGTCACATAAGCGCTAATACACAGCTCGAGGGAATCGATCACATCACCCACTAAAAGACTTGAGCAACTGGGCGATGACGACAATTCTTTGTCCTTGTCCTCGTACATATATAACAGAAATATCGGGTTTTGGATATTGTTCTTAACTAACTTACAACACGTAGTAAACAACAGAAGACTAAAAATAGAAATTTATATTCACGGAAAATAAAGAATATATATCTGCAACACCACAACAGTACCATATCTATCATCCAAACATTGTGCTCTTTTATATAACTGATATGGAAAGTATTGATATGCGTCCGGTAACTTGTAAAAAAAATCCATTATGTATTTTACTAACAGAAAAAATAATGATAAAAAAAACTCCATAATGTATGATCACTTCAGTGTGACACAACCGGATAAGAAGGAAACTGAGCCACACCACACATGCCTTGAGGCCACGCCACATCTCTACGGATCCTAATGTAACCATTCTCTCCCCAAGTCTCACCCCAAGAGTTCTTTGCCAGCCAATACTTGACCCCTTCTGGGCTCGTCCCGTACCCAACAAAAGTCACTGAATGACTTATGCTGAACCCACACTCGGGCGCATCGAATACTCCACTTGAGTAATGGAGGAAACCGGGTCCATCCGCGTCCATGGACACCGAGATGGGCTGTCTCGATACAGCCTCGAGCAACGCAGCCTCGTTGTTAGCCAAAACGTTTCGGAATCCACTGATCTGCATGGCGGGTTCAGCGTTGGACTGGCAGCTCCCCTCTTTCTCTTGGTAAGGGTATGCGTGTTCTGAAGAAATGCCTCCGTTTTGTGCTATGTACGTGAAAGCTTCTTCCATTGTTCCGCCATTGCAACCATCGTAAGATTTGTCGCAATCTATTAGCTGCTGTTCGGACAGTGATACGATGTTTCCTCGGGAAATCTTTGTCAGACCTTCCACCGCTGCAATCGCTGCGAACGCCCAACAACCACCTGCCCAAATATCGATTACTTCATTGTTACGAAACAAAAATTGTATTGGTAACCCTAAACCTAGAATGATATATAACCCTGATTTTTATAGAAATTCATTAAGTTTCCTATGCAGAGTTTAATTATGACATAATAATAGCAGTTCAGCGGTGTACTTCTCTGATCGGTAGAGACTGTTTATAATATATAATTACAGCAAGCGTACCACATTGTCCTTGCATTTTTACAGGTGTTACAGCTCCTTCCTTTCTCCAGTCTTTGCTCGTGGCGACGACGTTACTGATGTTCCAACTCCAAGATGGCATGGTCTCATCAACCACCTCAGATGGTGAGGTTAGGTTAAAGCCATTGAGACCGGTGTGGGTGGCTAGGAACTCTTCTTCGCTCCAATCCGTGAATTTGTTGACCCCAAGTTTGTAGCTATGATTCCCATTATTATTGAAATTCTTAATGAATTTCAAGTTTTTCTCAAAAAACTCTAAGCCTCATTTGTTTCTCAGATTCATTGCTATAAACTCTAGAGAACTGAATCATCCATTGTTGGTGGTAGGCAGAAATTGATGACTCGTTAAAGAAGGCACGGGATGTGGCTTGAGAGATCCTTAGATCCATGGAAAGAATGGTTAGAACCACGAAAACATACGATACTACCAACACCATTTTGGTTTTGATGGATACGATAGATAACAAAAATAAGACAAAATCACGTTTTCACTAATATGAACTGTCTTTTTTTTCTTAAATAAAAAATATGTGAAAGGTTTCTGTTGTGGTGAGGTGAAGAAATGAGAATTTATAGAGTTTGAAATGAGAGTTGTTATGTTAAAGCAAATGCAAGTTGACTCTATAGTGGTTATTACGGGAAGATCACGATCCAAACACTATAATATCTCAATCACTGTAATTACTCCAATGAAATCACTGTAATTCGTCCTAGTTAGGACCCCTGTAATTAATTACTGTAATCACGCATGTTATATTCGTGTTCTACACAATGAATACGATATAATACTATTTATACATCTTCCATGGTTATGGTGCTTGTGTTAGTTTGCATTATTTACTTGATGCGTCATCATCGGAAACAACTTATCCTTCTTTTTCTAAATTATTAATAGTATTATTTGTATGAAATTCAAGTTTTAAATCTATGATTTAGTTAATTGCGTGTGGTTTGATTGTAATTTTTTCGCTGGACATTTTTTTTTGATGAAATTCAAATTTATTGATTTACTCTATAACGTGGATTTACAATGGGTGGCTTGTGTAATAAGGTAAATTTCAAATGCTGGACATCATTTGCATTTGCATAGTAAAACATCAAAGATTTTTATATTATTTTGTTGTTTCTATGAAATAAATATTTTCACTATTATTTTGTGTCATTTTTTTATTATGTATGATTTAACTAATTATTTTATGTGGTTTTAATTACAGATTTTTGCTGGATATTATTTTATAGTAAAATATCAAATTATTGATATATTTTGTTTACTTAAGAATTTTTTTTTATATATATTATATCTACATATGTTTACGCTAATTATGTAGTTTATATGAAATAAATATTTTTTTAACAAAAAAAACTTAACCAAAAGAGAAATTAAAGTTGAATTTAAAAAGATCGCATGTGTCAAAAAATTTGTCTCTCAAAGAGGGAGAAATAGGGTAACCTTAAAACATCCACATTGGACAACTCAATATGTAGCCCGTGGGTGCTCTTACAATATCCTAAAGCTTTCATTTTTTTTTTCGTGGGTGCTCCTACAATATTATACGGTTAAGTCAAGATATGCTACCATTCAAGAATTTTCGGATATGGATGCCCCTTCTTTCATTGGACCAGATATTAGGAAGTTAAAAGCATATACTTGGAGGACTCAGTGTCCCTCTAAAATAAAACACTCTTTTTGGCAGATTCTCACTGGTTGGATCTGGGTTGGAGCACGCCTACGAGGACGAGGGATTTTGATTAATTCACAACGTTCAAGATGTGGGATGGCAGTGGAAACAATAAATCATGCTCTGTTCGAATGTCAACCGGCTTTTCAAGTTTGGGCTCTATCATTATACCTAGACCACCATCTCGGTTTCCGTTTCTGTTTCATGCTTTGTTCACAAATATGGCTTACTTTTTCTTACATTTACCAGTGGATAAGAGAATGAAGGTTTACCCAGAGCCGTTCCCAAAAATATGAAGCCCGTAAACGGTAAAAATAAAATCGCAGTAAATAATCAACATTTCATAACGTATTATTTGGATAATCATTTGCAGTAAGTTTTGTTTCATCATAACAATCAACTATTTATCTACAGTGTGTATTGTAAACCTATATTATAATCTAAAATGTTAAATCATACTTTCTTAAAATTTTGATAAATTACCTATTATTTGAGTTTTAGCTACTATAAATCACAATTCAAACTAAATATAATATCAGATAAATTCAGAATCATAAAAAAAAAAATACTTATCAATTAGCAAATATCATTTTGTTATGTTCTTAGAATTTTTTTTTTTTTTTTTACTAATTTTGTAATTAATGTCTACTGATAAAGTGATAATTTGACCCTTTTAGTTTTGTTAAATTTGGGCCCGTAAACCAATGTTTAATTTTTTCCTTCATAGGCACGCCCCTGGGTTTATCCATAGAATTTATGGTATGTTTGGAAATCCCCAAATGATATACTCTTCTCGAACTTGGATTGGACCCACATGAGATTATTGACTTAACGATGGCGGAGGCAAACGCATGACGGCATGAGCATCGGCTCAACTTTGGCTAGATATAGACAGGCCACATACAATAGGTTTGGGGGATCTATAAATTCATGATAAATGATGTCAGATCGATGGGTCTTCGAAAGAGACGTCATGTCGTTCATGTTTGGGATGGTTTTATAGTAAGATACAGACAGGAGACGCTGCTGGGACTTGTAACTTACGGCGTGGTTTATCACCTTTACAAACAAACAGCAGTTGAGACACTAGTATGGGTTATGTAATGCATACCTCGACATAAGAAATCAGTGATGTTTGAGACGGACTGCTCTGACCTATTGGAGGAGATGGTATCTCAACCTGAGGAGTGATAAACGGTTTTCTAGCATCAACTACACTCAAACTATCTACATATATCGTTGTGGTCTTTGAGGTGTCAAACGAAATGGAGATTCATGCAAGTGGAATACAAAGAAAAACTAAACTTCAAGTGTAAACAAGAGATTTTGGTAATTTTTAACTAAAGACAATAACTTTAAGTAAATGCAGCTCTAAAAGATGTAACAACGTGAACTTGATGAAATAAATGAAGAAAGGAGGTGTCTTGGATGAGGTTTGGTCAAGGTCGCATCTGCTCAAGAACCTAGATCTAACCTGAGCAAGAAGCAAGCTTTATGCCTAGATTCAAATTGAACCAGCCACTCTCGTGGTCACGTTGCTTTGCTGGATCAAACTCAAAGCTAGCTCTCGCTAGTGAGTTCAAAACAACAAGATTTATCAAGAAGTGATCTGAAATAGCATAAGAAACATCCCAACAACCAATCTCTTAGATTAAGAATGTTTCTTTCTACAGCTAGCTCTCTTAGACATTATCACATACACCTTATGGGCGAAGCCAGAGTATTTAGGGAACACTTGCATGGTTTGACCTAATAAAAACTGTTCGTCTTAGAAAAGTCGACATGGGGAAAAAGAGTTTTAGACTGCGACCTCTCCATAGGCGAGGCTCTCAAGATAAAACATCAAAGCAACATCCCAGTAACCCTTGACTAACTACAACGTTTAACTCTATATTCAAGAACTTTGTTTATTCACGTATGGCTGTCAGCCTTGCCTGATTCAGCTCCTGCATCTGGCTGATCATCGCATACGGAAACAGAAGTGCGCTCTTTTGTGACTTTTTCTCCTTATGTTGCTTCAAACAAAAATCCTTCAGAATGGGGATCTCTGGAGCGAAGAGGAAGAGTCATGACAACTAATATGTGTTATATTCGATCACATTTCTTTTAATGTAACAGATTATGTTAACATATTTCAGTCATTTTTATGTAACACATTATACAAACATATATGTACAGAGACTGCCATTTGATGCAGATAGATACACTCGGGATTGAATTGATCATCGCATAGATTTTAGGTTTTTGTGTCTTGGAAATGTAGACCTAACAGTGGCTCCAGTAAAATTCCTCACACAACATTCTCAAAAGTAGCTTAGCTGACACAACACGGCTTGGAAATCTGATCACGAATCTTGACATGACATCCATTGTTTTGATAAATCTGAATAATGGAATGACACTGCAAATCTATGTATACTATGTAGTCCTTTCATGTTAAACAGAGCTTCTTTCATTTTAGAAGGAATTCTTAGATCTTGTTCAAAGAGTTGTGCAGACTTAAAAAAAGAGCTCGAACTGAGAATCATACTTGAAAAATAAACAAATTTGATATCCGTCCGGTAATTTGAAAAACTCCATAATGTATTTTGCCAACAGAACAAAAAATGAACAAAAAAAAAACTCCATAATGTATTTTACCAACAGAAAAAAAAAATGGACAAAAAAAGTCCATAATGCATGATCACTTGAGTATAACCGACTTAATCACAAAACCGGATAAGAAGGATTCTGAGCCAAACCACACATGCCTTGAGGCCACTCCACATCTCTACGGATCCTAATATAACCATTCTCTCCCCAAGTCTCACCCCAAGAGTTCTTAGCCAGCCAATACTTGATCCCTTCTGGGCTTGTCCCGTACCCAACAAACGTCACTGAATGACTGATGCTGAACCCACACTCGGGTGCATCAAACACTCCACTTGAGTAATGGAGGAAACCGGCACCACTCCCGTCCATACCCACCGAGATGGGCTGTCTTGACACAGCCTCGAGCAACGCAGCCTCGTTGTTAGCCAAAACGTTTTGGGATCCACTGATCTGCATGGCGGGTTCGGCGTTGGACAGGCAACTCCCCTGTTTCTCTTGGTAAGGGTATGCGTCTTCTGTAGTAATGCCTCCGTTTTGAGCTATGTACGTGTAAGCTTCTTGCGATGTTCCGCCATTGCAACCGTTATTAAATGTGTCGCAATCTACAAGCTGCTGCTCGGACAGTGATACGAGGTTTCCTCCGGAAATCTTTGTCAGACCTTCCACCGCTGCAATCGCCGCGAACGCCCAACAAGAAGCTGCCCAAACTATCGATTACTTGATTGTTACGAAACGAAATTTGTATTGGTAAAAAAAAAAAAAAAAAAAGAAATTTGTATTGGTAACCCTAAATTTAGGATGATTGATAACCCTAATTAAACTGGAAATTCATTAAGTTTTCAATGCAGAGTTTAATTATGACATTATAGTAATCAAGCCGTTTACTTTCTCTGATCTGTAGAGACTGTTTATTTATAATATATAGAGCTTACCACATTGTCCTTGCATTTTGACAGGTGTTACAGCTCCTTCCTCTCTCCAGTCTTTGCTCGTGGCGACGACGTTACTGATGTTCCAACTCCAAGATGGCATGGTCTCATCAACCACCTCAGATGGCGAGGTTAGGTTAATGCCATTGAGACCGGTGTGTGTGGCAAGGAACTCTTCTTCGCTCCAATCCGTGAATTCGTTGACACCAAGCTTGTAGCTATGACTCCCATTATTATTGAAATTCTCAATAAATTTCAAGTTTTTCTCAAACACTTTAAGCCGCATCTGTTTCTCGAATTCATTGCTATAAACTCTAGAGAACTGAATCATCCATTGTTGGTGGTAGTCAGCAATTGATGACTCGTGAAACGTGGAACGAGATGTGGCTTGAGAGATCCTTAGATCCATGGAAAGAATGGTTAGAACCACAAAAACATACGATACTACCAACACCATTTTGGTTTTGATGGATACGATAGATAACAAATATAAGAAAAAAATCACGTTTTCACTAATATGAACCGTCTTTTTTTCTTAAATACAAAATATGTAAAAGTTTTCTGTTGTGGTGAGGTGAAAAAATGAGGATTTATAGAGTTTGAAACGAGAGTTGTTATGTTGAAGACTTGAAGAAAATGCTAAAATATCTCAATCACTGTAATTACTATAGTGTCATAATTAATAGATTTCGTTTATATTATAAATAATATAGTATTTGGATCGTAATCTTTCCCTTATAGAAATCTTGCCAAATACTATAATATCTCAATCACTGTAATTACTATAGTGTCATAATTAATAGACTTCGTTTATATTATAAGTATTATAGCATTTGGATCGTGATATTTCCCTTATAGTAATCTTCCCAAATACTACAATATCTCAATCACTGTAATTACTCCAATCAAATAACTGTAGTTACTCCTAGTTAGGATCCTAGCTGTACTGTAATTAATTACTGTTACAAGTATTGTAATCACGCATGTTATATTCGTGCTCTACACGATGAATACGATATAACACTATTCATACATCTTCTGATTCTTCCATGGTGCTTGTGTTAGTTTCCATTATTTACTTGATGCTTCATCATCAAGAAACAACTAAACTAATCATTCTTTTTCTAAATTATTATACTGATTTTAATTATGAAAATTTTAAAATAATTATTTTACAATTTTTTATTAGAGTGTACATTCTTATATTATTTAGATTCATTTTTTGTTCTCAGAAAATATTGATCTCTAAAGTTATGCCTTTGTAACATTATATACAAGGTGGTTGTCCCGCACCTTGTGCGGGTACAATATTTTTTAAATACAATTATTAATTAAAGATTTAAATAATATAAGTAGTACAACTTTTTATTGTATTCATCGTTTTTGTTTTCGCAAACTTCTTATTTTTGTAATCTTGAGGTGTCTTATTTTTATCTTCTCTTTCTTGTTCTTCTACGTAATATTCTTCATTTGTTTTGGAATTTTCTTCACATTCCATTATTTCTTCTTTCCTTTCTTTTTCCTCATGTTCGACTTTTCTTTTTCTTTTCTAAATTTTTCATCTTCTTTTTCACTGTTTTCTTTTCTTTTACTTATGTATCTATTATGTCTTGTTTGTGTCTTGTATATCACCTACCAATTCATTTCGATAGTTAAAATTTTCAATATTTTTGAATAGATTCTATCTTTATATAGTTGAAGTCTTTTAAAAATTTATTAGTTTTGTTATCTTTCAATTCTGGATTTTCTTTAGTTGTTTTAGTTTTTTTTTCTATTTGTGAATGTAATTTTGAAAGTAGATATAAATTTCAAATAAATGATTTTTTTATTATGAAATTCTTCTATAATAATTCAAGTTTTTTTAAAATACACCAAAAACTAAACCCTACACCCTAAACCCAAACCCACAGTGTAACACCACCCCCTAAATAACCCAAACACCACATTATTAATGATTAAGCAAATATTATGGATATTAAAAAAAAAAATCGTTATAGATTCGCCATTAGAATTAGGGTTTCATGAATATTAAGATGGTAATTAAAAGGATAGATGTTCATACCTTCTTTTGCTGGAGTTGAATATTTCTCGCTTGGGACCAAATCTGATCTTCTAGATTCCATTAGCTTGGAACTCACTGTTACAAAAGCGAGAGAAGAAGAAGTTAGAAGCGTATATGTAGATGATTGACAGTAGATAACAAATAATCAGTTAATCATTACAGTAAATAGAACTTAAATCAAAGTGAAACAATAAAGATACATGAGAAGAAGAAATATGAGACCTAAGAAGTAAGATTACGTATAGAAAGAAGATATGCAAATCGTAATGAGAATTGGGTTGATTTTGCTTGTAGCTATAACTATATATAAGACAAGAGTCGGCTAACAAACTTAGGTTTTGTAACATCCATAAACCAAAAATAAAAATTGGGAATTTTGTCGGTTCAATTTAAGTGAATTGGTTTGGGTCGGTTTAGTGGAGAAAGCCCTAAAATCAAGTTTAAAGAGTGCAGCCGTCTTCTCTTTGGAGAATTTTCGAGTTCAGATGCTGTAGAGGAGAAAAGTTGAGTTTTTGGAGAGATTTTCGAATTTTACTGTTCATCGGGTTACTGTTCATCGGTACTGTTCACGGGTTACTGTTCATCGGTACTGTTCACGGGTTACTGTTCATCCGCGATTCGGCACTGTTCATCGTCTTCCTTTTTCCTTCAGTTTCAATCATTGTCAAGGTGAGTGCATGACTGTGGGTCCGTGATTTGCTAGATTAGATTTGGTTTGTGGTTGTTCTTGATGAGTTTATGTTTTAATTGTTATTTTTATGATATTTTGGTTGTTCATGTGATGAATTGTGTGTTTGTGTGGTTTAATCTGGTTTATTGGTTTAATTGAATTTAATTGATTTGATTCTGGTTTATCTTGGTTCAATTGAATTTAATTGGTTTAATTGAATTTAATTGGTTTAATGGAATTAAATAGATTTAATTCGGATTTAATTAATTAAATAATATTTATTTAATTAATTGGTAATTATTTTAATTATTTTAAAATATGGAAAATTATTATTTAATTATGAGAATTATTTAATAATTGAGAAATTGAGTTTTAATTATTAAAAATTATTTAATAATTGGAAAATGGTATTTAATAATTATTGGAGTTTATAAATATTATTAAATATCTAGTAAATTGCGTAAATGGCTCGTAGGCAGAGTGATTGCCTCACTAAGTATTTATTAAATACTTACGCAACTCCATTCCAATGTGTTGCAGGTAAAAGATTTGTGTGATCGCGGAATCAAGGCTGAAGAGGGGGATGATAGGATGTTTACTGTTTTATTGTTTTGCATTATTTTGCTAGACTTGTTTAATTATTATTTGCTTCCGCTGAGCTGATTTATTTGTTATTGATATTTTATTTATTTAATTTATTTTAAAGACCTTCGCTAGAATTGATTAATATTTATTAAAAAAAAAAAAATGTTGGTTGTTTCATTTTGGTATCAGAGCCTAGACGGTTTTAGGACAGTTAGAATTGCTAGGCTTAGTATCATCCCCTTCAGCTAAAGGAGATTCCGCGGTGAGTTATTGGTGTTTGTGTTTTGTGTTATTGTCTAGTTGCTCATGTTCGGGTCCATGCAGTGAGATGGACGGAGCTCCTAGAGGTCGTGGCGCGAGAGGGCGCGGTGCTAGAGGTCGTGGCGGCAGAGTTGGCCGTGGCGGCAGAGCTGGTGGTAGAGCTGGAGGCCGAGCAGGCCGAGGTCGTGGTCGTGGACTTCCGGAGGAGTCGGGAGAGAGTGCGGCACCGAGTGTGCATACTGCGTCGGTGACCCAGTCAGTTCCGTTGGCGGGTGATGCCAGTGCGAGTGTTGGTTTGGGAGCGGGGGCTGCTCCGGGTGGGGGTGGCGCTCCGGCTCCGGGTCATGATGACTTAGTGGTGGGGTTTGCTGACGCAGCTATTGGCTCGTTTTCCGCCGGTGGTTCCACAGGGGGCTCCAGGAGTACCGCCAGTGGCAGAGGTGCAGCATGTTGCTGCAGGCGTTGCGCAGCCGGAGGCTGTGGATGCGGGTGTGACCAGTTATTTGGAGTTTATGGGCCACATGCAGAGGATTGGTACGCCTTTCTTCGAGGGTAGAGTTGGTCCAGAGGAGGCAGACGCGTGGCGTCAGAGAGTGGAGCGGAACTTTCATTCGATCCGTTGTCCGATAGAGTACTGGGTGGAGTTAGCGGTCCACTATTTGAGTGGCGATGCTCATTTGTGGTGGCAGGCCGCGGTGGGCCGGAGGGCATTTTGGACTTGGGGCGACTTCCTTGTGGAGTTCAACGCCAAGTATTTCCCGAGGCAGGCTCGTGATCGTCTTCAGATGCGGTTTATGGGCATTGAGCAGGGTTCGCGTTCTGTACGCGAGTATGATGAGGAGTTCAGCCGTCTGTTAGTGCATGCGGGCTTTGGTATGGAGGTCTGAGCATCAGTTGACGAACAGATTTCTGGAGGGACTTCGCAAGGATATCGGACTCTATGCAGGAGTAGTATGCACACTTCGAGGGCGAGTCTGGTAGAGTTGGCCGCGTCGGTTGAGGCGGATCTTGGTGGGCCAGTTGGTCCGGTGGCTGTGCCGTCAGCAGTTGCTTCTGCTACCCAGCCTCGGGGTCAGCATCAGCAGCCGCGACAGCAGCAGCAGCAGCAGCGCAGAGGTGGTTCGAGTTTCAGTTCTGGTTCTGGCAGGGGCGGTTTGCCTGCGCAGGGTCAGAAGAGGAGTAGAGAGGAGTTTTCTGGTGCTAGTCAGTTTCCTCGTGGTTCCTGTTTTGGGTGTGGGAGCACGGAGCATCGTGTTTCGAGTTGTCCCAAGAGAGATCAGCACCGAGGTGTGCTACTACTGCAAGGAGCCTGGGCATATCAAGCCCATGTGTCCTAAGTTGCGGAGTATGTCGGTGGCTTCGGTTCAGCCAGTAGCGGCTCAGCCAGTGAGTCAGATCGCAGCAGTGCAGCCGTTGGGTCAGATTGCACCGGCGCCGCGGGGTTACTCTTCAGTGGAGACTGGCGGGACTAGTCAGACCGGGCAGATCACAGGTAAATCTTCGACTCAGACTTTGTAAATTCTTAGTATAGAATTGTTGTTGTGTATTGTCTGTTAGTCATTTTTATCTGTGATAGTTTGTGGAGGTTCTCAACGCAATTGAATGTGTAGGGACCTTGTTAGTGGGCGGTTTTGAGTCCCACGTTTTATTCGACTCTGGAGCATCGAATTGCTTCATTACACCGGAGCGTGCCGAGAAGAGTGGCATCCGGAGTAGCGCGGGCGAGAGCGCGGGCATGGTCAAGGTGGCGGGAGGTGGATTCTTGTCTACTTTGGGCCGTGCTAGAGGAGTCGAGATCGAGATTGCGGGGCAGTCAATGCCAGCAGACTTAGTCATCAGTCCGGTGGAGCTGTATGACGTTATTCTCGGGATGGACTGGTTGTCACACTACAGAGTTCATCTGGATTGCTACAGAGGTAGAGTGGTCTTCGAGCGAGATGCAGGGAGGTTGGTTTATCAGGGAGTGAGACCGACTTCCGGGAGTATTGTGATATCTGCTATTCAGGCCGAGCAGTTGTTAGAGCGGGGCTGTGAGGCGTATCTGGCGACGATTTCTATGTCTGAGTCAGGAGCTGGAGTTGTTATGGGAGATATTGAGGTTGTCCAGGATTTTGAGGATGTCTTTCAGTCACTGAAGGGATTACCACCATCTCGGTCTGATCCTTTCACGATTGAGTTAGAGCCGGGGACAGCACCGATATCGAAGACGCCTTACAGGATGGCGCCAGCTGAGTTGGCAGAGCTGAAGAAGCAGATAGAGGACCTTTTGTCTAAGGGGTTCATTCGACCGAGTGTTTCACCGTGGGGAGCACCGGTGTTGTTTGTGAAGAAGAAGGATGGAGTTTCAGACTTTGTATCGATTACAGAGGTCTTAACCGAGTCACTGTGAAGAACAGGTACCCACTCCCGAGGATTGATGAGTTTGGATCAGTTGAGGGGTGCTACTTGGTTCTCCAAGATTGACTTGGCATCGGGGTATCATCAGATCCCGATAGATGAGGCAGATGTCAGGAAGACTGCTTTCAGGACGCGTTATGGGCATTTTGAGTTTGTGGTTATGCCTTTCGGTTTGACTAACGCGCCGGCAGCCTTCATGAGATTGATGAACGACGTGTTCAGGGAGTATTTGGACGTGTTTGTCATCATTTTCATTGATGATATTCTGGTATACTCGAGGAGTCAGGAGGAGCATGCGACTCACTTGAGGTTGGTTCTGGAGAAGCTTCGGGAGCAGAAGCTTTTTGCTAAGTTGAGCAAGTGCAGTTTCTGGCAGCGAGAGATGGGATTTCTTGGCCACATTGTTTCTGCAGAGGGAGTTTCTGTGGATCCGGCTAAGATTGAGGCTATCAGAGATTGGCCTAGACCTAGTAGTGCCACCGAGATCAGGAGTTTTCTGGGTTTGGCAGGATACTACAGGAGGTTCGTCAAGGGGTTTGCTACCATGGCGCAGCCGATGACGAAGTTGACCGGGAAGGATGTCCCTTTTGTTTGGTCAGCTGAGTGTGAGGAGAGCTTTAGTCAGCTCAAGGAGATGTTGACTACTACACCAGTGTTGGCGTTACCCGAGCCAGGGAAGCCTTACATGGTGTATACAGATGCTTCAGGCATTGGTCTTGGTTGTGTGCTGATGCAGGAGGGCAGAGTGATAGCATATGCTTCGAGACAGTGGCAGGGCAGTGAGCGTAACCGTCCTACACATGACTTAGAGTTGGGAGCAGTGATCTTCGCGTTGAAGATTTGGAGGTCTTACTTGCTAGGTGAGACAGTACAGGTCTTCACGGATCACAAGAGTTTGCAGCATATCTTCACTCAGCCGATGATGAACGCGAGACAGACGCGCTGGGTTGAGTTCTTGGCGGATTATCAGGTGAGCATTAACTACCATCCGGGCAAGGCTAACCTAGTGGCGGACGCGTTGAGTAGACGGAGGTATGATTCCGCAGTTGAGCGAGATGTGGAGTCTCTAGTTGGCGAGATCAGTACCTTGCGTTTGTGTGCCATTTCGCAGGAGCCTTTGGGTTTAGAGGCAGTGGATCAGGCGGATCTACTTAGCAGGATCAGAGTTGCTCAGCAGAGTGATCAGAGTTTGCTAGATGCGACGAGAGTGACTGGTTCTGAGTATGAGGTCTCTGCGAATGGGACTATCTTGGTTCGTGGGCGAGTTTGTGTGCCTAAGGATGTGGAGTTGAGACATCAGATTTTGGGAGAGGCTCACGCGAGCAAGTTTTCCATTCATCCGGGAGCGACCAAGATGTACCATGACCTCAAGAGGTACTATCATTGGGTCGGGATGAAGAGGGATGTAGCAGACTGGGTTGCGAAGTGCAACACTTGTGCCTTGGTGAAGGCAGAGCATCAGGTTCCGGGTGGTCTTTTGCAGAGTTTACCCATTCCGAGTGGAAGTGGGACAGGATTACGATGGATTTCGTGGTTGGACTACCTGTTTCGAGGACTTTCGATGCTATCTGGGTGATTGTGGATCGGTTGACTAAGTCTGCACATTTCTTGGCCATCAAGAAGACAGATGGAGCTGCTGTCTTGGCTAGGAAGTTTGTGCGAGAGATTGTGAGGCTGCATGGAGTGCCAGCTAGTATTGTGTCAGACCGTGATCCCAGATTCACTTCAGAGTTTTGGAGGGCGTTTCAGGCAGAGATGGGCACTAAGGTGCATCTGAGTACAGCTTATCATCCGCAGACAGATGGTCAGTCAGAGAGGACTATTCAGACTTTGGAGGATTTGCTGAGGATGTGTGTGTTGGATTGGGGTGGCCATTGGGCAGATCACCTGAGCTTAGTTGAGTTTGCATACAACAACAGCTTTCAGGCGAGTATTGGCATGGCTCCATTTGAGGCTTTGTATGGGAGGCCATGTAGGACACCCCTATGCTGGACCCAAGTGGGGGAGCGCAGCATGTATGGAGCTACTTATGTTCAGGAGACGACAGAGAAGGTTCGTGTTGTGAGGCTGAACATGAAGGAGGCTCAGGATAGGCAGAAGAGTTATGCAGATAGACGCAGACGAGAGCTTGAGTTTCAGGTTGGAGATAGAGTTTATCTCAAGATGGCTATGTTGAGGGGTCCTAACAGATCCATAGCAGAGAACAAGCTGAGTCCGCGATTTATGGGTCCGTTTCCAGTAGTGGAGCGAGTTGGGCCATTGGCTTACAGGCTGGAGTTGCCTGAGATTATGAAAGCCTTTCACAAGGTTTTTCATGTGTCGATGCTGAGGAAGTGTCTTCACCCTACAGAGGAGTTAGTGGCTAGGATTCCAGAGGATCTTCAGCCAGATTTGACGTGCCGGCAGTGCCTATGAGGATTTTAGAGAGGAGGGAAAAGGTTCTGAGGAACAAGAGGATTCCCTTACTGAGGATTTTGTGGGATTGCAGTGGTTCTACAGAGGAGACTTGGGAGCCAGAGGCAAAGATGAAGTTGAAGTTCAGGAAGTGGTTCGACAAGCAGGTCGAGGAGTGAGCTTATTTCATCTTTGTAGCCTCAGTTGTTATTTTTGGCTTTGGTGTTATTGTATTTTCGTTTTCGTTGTAACGATTTACATTTTGGAGTTTTAATGAGATGCAGTTTTTCCTCATTTTGCCTTGTGTTGTGAAAAGGTATTCGGATGTTACACATGTTTGACCAGTTTTTGGTTGTGAGACGGTCTAATCTTATGGTTATAGACATTTTCCGGAATTTTTACTCTAAGGATTGCGATCCTGAATAACTCATCATGTTTTTGGAGACTTCGTTCTCTGGCAGACTCTCTGGGTGCAAGTAGGCCTCAGTTGAGTGTAGCTTATATGGGTGCAAGTAGGCCTCAGTATAAGCAGTTTAGTTCATCTGGGTGCAAGTGGGCCTCAGTATGGACGTTTTCGGGTTCGTCTGGGTGCAAGTGGGCCTCAGTGCGGACCGGTGTGGACTTGTCTGGGTGCAAGTGGGCCTCAGTACAAGTTGTTTGGTGTGTTTGGATGATGAGTTAGGAGTGAAATTTTCTTGGAACGTGTTTATGACATAAGATATGACGTTTGTCTCGGGGATCAAGTGAGGATCTCCGGTGTTGCGGCCTTGCGAGGTTGGGTTTTGTGGTCTTTGTGACGTTTGCGTTGGGATTCGAGGACGAATCCAGTTTAGTGGGGAGAGTTGTAACATCCATAAACCAAAAATAAAAATTGGGAATTTTGTCGGTTCAATTTAAGTGAATTGGTTTGGGTCGGTTTAGTGGAGAAAGCCCTAAAATCAAGTTTAAAGAGTGCAGCCGTCTTCTCTTTGGAGAATTTTCGAGTTCAGATGCTGTAGAGGAGAAAAGTTGAGTTTTTGGAGAGATTTTCGATTTTACTGTTCACGGGTACTGTTCATCGGTACTGTTCACGGGTTACTGTTCATCGGTACTGTTCACGGGTTACTGTTCATCCGCGATTCGGCACTGTTCATCGTCCTTCCTTTTTCCTTCAGTTTCAGTCAATTGTCAAGGTGAGTGCATGACTGTGGGTCCGTGATTTGCTAGATTAGATTTGGTTTGTGGTTGTTCTTGATGAGTTTATGTTTTAATTGTTATTTTTATGATATTTTGGTTGTTCATGTGATGAATTGTGTGTTTGTGTGGTTTAATCTGGTTTATTGGTTTAATTGAATTTAATTGATTTGATTCTGGTTTATCTTGGTTCAATTGAATTTAATTGGTTTAATTGAATTTAATTGGTTTAATGGAATTAAATAGATTTAATTCGGATTTAATTAATTAAATAATATTTATTTAATTAATTGGTATTATTTTAATTATTTTAAAATATGGAAAATTATTATTTAATTATGAGAATTATTTAATAATTGAGAAATTGAGTTTTAATTATTAAAATTATTTAATAATTGGAAAATGGTATTTAATAATTATTGAGTTTATAAATATTATTAAATATCTAGTAAATTGCGTAAATGGCTCGTAGGCAGAGTGATTGCCTCACTAAGTATTTATTAAATACTTACGCAACTCCATTCCAATGTGTTGCAGGTAAAAGATTTGTGTGATCGCGGAATCAAGGCTGAAGAGGGGGATGATAGGATGTTTACTGTTTTATTGTTTTGCATTATTTTGCTAGACTTGTTTAATTATTATTTGCTTCCGCTGAGCTGATTTATTTGTTATTGATATTTTATTTATTTAATTTATTTTTAAGACCTTCGCTAGAACTGATTAATATTTATTAAAAAAAAAAAAATGTTGGTTGTTTCAGGTTTTCCATTTTTAATTCTATTACAATTTTTTTAATTTTTCCATATATGTGGCACGAAAATATAGAAAATATGCAAATTGTAATGAGAATTGGGTTGATT